CCCCCCCCCCAACACACCATCTTCAGGAAATATATCTGTCCAAAAATCGTCCATCTTAAAGAACCCCAAGGTTCATTACCTCAGTCATAAAACATCCGCCAGTTGTATCCAGGACACGCACTCGGCTCAAGCACAGAATGAACACAGACTGTGCTGGTTAAAGTCGGTCGTATCTTCTCACTTCCTTCCTACACTGCACACAGCCCTTCCGTTAAATCCAAGATTAAACAGAGACCACAAAGGGAGAGCCACAACATAAACAAATGCTGGCAGCTGGGTAAGGAAAACAGGAGAGGCGCTTCGTCTGAAACATCTGTCAGGGAACACAATGCCTTGAGTGGGCGACAGCCTTGTGCGTGTTCAGCGCAGATGTCCCGTAAGGGCCCCCATACACACACAGTTTGGCCTCCAGTTCGGCCTGCACAGTTGAAGACTGAAAGGCAAAACTGACGTGTGTGGTGCGGCCGGCCGGCCAATCGTTCGGACTCTTGGCCTGTGGGAAACCCGTCAGTCCGTCAGTTCTGCCTGCAGGACCGTAGCACGTGACGTGTGTGACTCAACATTATAGGCTGGAAGACCGTGATTGTGGCATGAAGCCTGCCGCTTTATCTGCGCGTGTATGGGGAGGAAAGGGAGGGGGTAAACTGTCACAGTTTTGCCTGTAAGGTCGATCGGAAGGACAAACTGTGTGTGTATGGGGGGCCTAAGACGAGTTCGCTTCCCATGTGTGATAGAAACAGAATCTTAGCAATTTTCTATTCTTGGCGTAACATTCTGTGTCATTAGCTGCTAGGGTCACCAGTATAAGCCATTGTGCTTTAATTCTTCCTCCGATCCGACTTTAGCCACCCCTTTTCTCTGAGACCAATTTGGATATTATGAACAAACTCCGTGGCTTCTGTCCGCAAGCGAACTATACCGACCGAGCGACCCCCGCTTAGTGTCAACTTTAGCGGATAGAGGGTGTCGCGTGGTCATTGCAACGAATCCCCACGGCCGTTAATTTCGATTTTCTAGACAGGAGCCGCTATTTCCTTGAAATAGCTCCTCGATTATCCTCACTAGGTTGAGGGGAACCCGTTTCAGACTCACTACTTTTGAGAAATTCAGGTAGCGCCAGGAGTCGAGCCCGGGACCTCAGGATCTGTAGCCAGGAACTCTTGACCACTAGACCACAGAGGCGGTCAATTTGGATATTATCCCGCCATAAACTGGCCTACCAGAACTGGTCTTCTGTCTTGAAAGGTACTGGCCAACAGACCAAATGCCGTCTGGGATCTGACGCAGTGCAGTTTGGTAGATAGGTAAGAAGATTTCCGAGAACTGTGGTGCTCTTTTTCAATCCTGGTTTCTCCGAAACGTTGATATATACCAAATTACACGGCGTCATATCCCAGAAAACAGCAACATTCATAGTTACCACCTCGAATCTAGGAACATACGAAATGTTGATGTGTGTCAGAACAAAGTCACATATGTAAAGGACTTATCAGGAGGTTCTGCTCAGTAACTTACCCAATAGCTTCGTGGAGCACGGAGCCTTTCTTGGGAAGCTATTACTGACTCCGTTACCTAAGTAATCCCTAACATTTTATGGAACCCGAGGTTTCATTACAGTTTTCACGAAAGCCCTGTCCCGAACCGGATGAATCCAGTCCCCACTATTCCATTCTGTTTGTTTACGATAAATTTTAATCTTATCCTTCATCTACACTTTGGACTTCTAGTGGACTCCTCCCTTCAGGGTTTCCTACAAAAATCTGTATGCATTTCTCTTGCTTTCCATACGTGCTACATGCCACACCCATCTCAGCCTCCTTGAGTTATTCGTCCTAATATCCAGCGAGGATTACAAATTAACGAAAATTATCACTCCGTAATTTTCTTCGACCTCTTGTTACTTCATCCCCTTAGGTCAAAATGCTTTCCTCGCCATCATCTTGCGAAACACCCTCAGTCCCTGAAGAGTTCTGCTTCTGGGACAGAACTCTTCATAACCGGAAGTGCGAAAACCTCTCAGTCCTGGTTCTTCTCTTAATGCGAAGTACTTAGTGTCACTTCCATACAAGATTGCAGGCAAAATTAGGCGTATATTTTCTGCGTATTTTAAATTTTATGTGTTTAAATAGCATGAAAAAGATTGTGAAATTAATGTTAGCATGTAATCCCCAAACAATGCGTTTATTTACGTATTTGCAATTTATTTAACCACACTGAATAGCACTGAAACAGATGTAATTTTATGTTTTGTCAGCAGCGAACTTCAGATGGCGGATGGCGGAGACTTCCAGATAGTGAACCTGAAGACTATTGCCCCCTCTCTGACCTGCATACTTTGTACTGAACCACTGACTAATGAGACAAGGCTGTGTGAGTCCGGGCATACATTCTGCAAGAAATGCTTACCAAAGATGGGTCACTGTATGGAATGCAGAGCAAAGATCCTCGTGGGCACACGCAACTATCTGATAGAGAAGATAGCAAACGTGGTGAAGTACAAGTGTCATAACTATTATTACGGCTGTAAAACTCTGTTATCCGAAGAAATCCATCTCAATCATAATGTGACGTGCCAGTACAGTACGATTGCTTGTCCTCTGGAACAGATCGAGAGTGTCAGATGCCAGTGGGTGGGGACACTGTCTCAGATTTTGCATCATGTAAAGGCGTATCACAGTAACAAGATAACAAACAGAAATTATTTCTGTTGTACCTCGCTGCAAGACACGTATTGGTTGACTGTGTACAAGGGAGAAGTCTTCTTGTACTGCAAACAGAAGCGGCAGACACACTGGTACGCCGCTGTGGTGAGCGTGGGGGTAACGGAAGCCTCGTTCAGGGGAGTTTTCGTCTTAAGATCATTTGAAGAAGACAGCAACGAGGCAGTTGAAATTTCTTTTACTGTAGATCTTATTGATGCTTTTGAACAAATATTCGTTTCCGGTAGATGCCTTGTGTTAGATGATGTAACAGTAAGAAATTTTATTAAGAATGGAAAGATCAATATGATGGTTTCAATTGAAGAGATCTCTTCCAATTAATTGATGCATATTGTGATATAATTCTTGTGACAACATGCATATTCTTTAACCATTTCGGATTCTAAACCGCACATACTGGTTAGTAAAGATCTAATTCTCAGTTATTACAATTCCATACGTTTTTAAGACATTGTACTCTTTGTACTACAACATCGCCATGCAACACAAATTTTTATCATTGACCCCCTGAGGACAAATGTTATGTGTCCAGCTTGGAAAAAAGTTGATTTTTCGGAACACAATACTGCTTAAAAAAAAAAAAAGAATATTGCTCTTTTTTACATGTAACGTCATGGAGTCTGCAGAAGTTTGCTGGCGTGATGTTCCTGAGGGAAGTTTCATTGGTAAACATTTACTAGATTCATAATATTGTATTTCAGCATCCTGTTGCATTAATATCAATTATTTCATCAATATATACTATTTCCGTCACAGTGCAACGCAAGATTGTTACAGTCACTGTAGTCTTTATTCATGACATGTTTCGGCGGTATACGGCCATCATCAGGTGACTGTAGAAATCTTGTGTTGTACTGTGACGGAAATACATATATTTATGAAAATAATCTACTAGATTGTATTGAGTCCCATCCCTGAAGGCAGTAATTTCAGAGCCATCTTGTGAGAACTTAAAATTTTAGGCGGCTCTTTATAATTTACTCAATAATTTACTAGATATTTATTGCAGTGTTAATTATTTATCCTATATTGAACTCATGTTTAAACCATGTTTTAAATATTACTGGCATATTTACGGCATATGACGGTTCTACTATAATTCCAAAAAGTAATCATATCGCAGTTCAAGTGCACTTGGTATTTTTATCATAAATGAAAAATATATCAATGAAAGGAAATTTGTAATTAATTTGTAGTTAAATGTTTTACGAATTTTATCCTAATATATTGACAATTATGCATAATAAATTACACCATTAAAAGAAACATTTAAATGCTTTTATTTTCGTGAATGTAATCTAACACTCAAGCATAGTGGTTACTATACACACCACCTGCTTTAACATTAAAAAAATGAACTCCCACACAGTGTACTTATGTGTCCCGTATGATGATCACAATTATTTCCTTATATAGAACATTAACAAGCTGGTCGTTGCCATGGAAACATTGTGTTTCCTGTAAGGCAGGAACTTAATTTTCTAAAATATTATTCGCATAAATTTTAGGTTCAAAGTGATAATTACCCTATGTATATGAGGCACTATGCTACAAGCCGAAAGGTCGCGGGTTCGATTCCAGATGAGGGAATTGGATATTTTTTTCATTTGACGTAAGCCTTCCAGCAACACTATTGCCCTGGGGTCGACTCAGTCTAACAGAACTGAGTACATGGGGGGTAAAGGGCGGCCGGCGCGTGAGGCTGACAGCTTCACCGCCATCTGTGAGTCGATTGTCTAGAAAATTTATAGAGCCTCGACGTCTCACAACCCTATGGGCCTCCACGGCCTGTTACAGGGATAGCTTTATATACATTCGTATTTACCTGCACTGCCTCTTAATCCTTCAACAGCCAGGCTCCGTGCCTCGGAATATAACAATGACAACGCTGCCTAACTTGTTACTACACTTCAGAAACCACTATGTGACACACACTGTCTTTCCTTCTCCATCGCCTTCGGCTGCCGTCTCAAGAGGCTCTCTCAGTTCTCAGCTGCAACTGTCAACTCTCTGGATGCCATCCCTTCTCATTTATCTACACAAAGCTCAGCTCTAGACTAACTGNGACTGGAGGCGATACGCTCCTCCGAAACGTCGGTTAACACCACATATACACGGTGCCAAATCCCAGAAGACAGCTTTCTTCATAACTGTTGTATAGCTGTATAGTCCTGCGACGTTCCGAAGGAACTGAGGGCTTCCATTTTCTGGGCAGAAAAGTGAGCCACCCAAGAAACCAGCAAGAAGCAGGCGGCAAGCCCAGTAAATGGTTTACTTCCAGGATGTGATTGAACAGTGGGGCAGAATTTTCATTTTTTTAATGCTAGTGGGGTGGGACTAAGTCCCTTATACTGCGGCCACTTCTGGCCTATTGTACCAGCCCCAGATGATAGGTGAGGGTGATTGTGGAGCAATTGGTGGAATGAAGATTGGCAGGGGAAACCAAAGTACTAGGACAAAACCTGTCCCAGCGCCACTTTGTCCACCACAAATCCCACTTGACCAGACCCGGGATAGAACCCGGGCCGCCGCGGTGGGAAGTCAGAGACTAACCGCTTGAGCTATGGCGCGGCCTGAATTTTCAGTTCCTTCGCTTCGTATTGGAGAAGTCCCAAGTTCGCGTGCGACTGAGGAAGTCTGCTATCTTTAATTTCCTCAGTTCCTCCGGGTACATTCTGGGACAGTAACTCAATTCAGGCCATGATTAGGCAGGTGGAGTAAGTGGTCGTAAGAAGGATGGCCAGAAGAAGGTGAGGGGGGGGGGGACAATCTATGGAAATTCTTTGCCAGGTTTCACTATACACTGTACAGAGTGTCTCAGGAAGAAAGGTCAATATTCTGAGAGGTCATAGTATCGGACATTCTAACCAAATAGTGTATATGTACATGTGTCCTATTCCGAAAAGTTTCCGAGATATTTCACTGTACAGTTTCAACACTGTTGATAAGAAATAGATATTAATGTACTGATTGTAATACCGGTATTTGCTTAAGCGACAATTGTTCCTACAGTTTACCTAGTATAATAAATATTCCAAATTCCACCGTCAACATCAATGCACTTTGCAACTTGTGTGAGGACGTGGCGTGTTGCTCCTCTGTACAGTGTACTGTACAATGCAATAGCTCTATCTCGGAAACCGTTCGTTATAGGACACATATACTCGTATATGTACACATTTTTGCTTAGCATAACCGATAATGTGACCTCCCAGAATATTGACCTTTCCTCCTGCGGTAGGACGACAGATGCAACGACGAGTTGGAAAGGGTTTGTAAGGAGAAGGTGGTGGCCTAGTGGAGGTACTACCTCGGAATATTCCTGGAGACTGAGAAAACAACGAAACACTTAGGATAGCCGGCACCCCCTATAAATAAGAACCGAGCATGTCTCGAACAAAAGTCAAGAGCGTTACCGCTATACCAACATTTCGGCAGCACCTGCTGCCTCAGTCTTAGATACATTTATCTTGAACACGGAAGCAGCATGTTTCTCCGAAACGTTGGTACCTATTTACTGATTTACGCTGGTTATACTAATAGGTAACGGTGTCCCTGCCTGTAGCCGAGCCGGCAACATGTACTGTGTTCGCTCGCTCGGAAGCCGGGATCGTGAGTTCGAGTCCTACTCAGGGCATGGATGTTTGGTCTGTGTTTGTGTTGACCTGTACTTAGGCAGAAGCCTTGCGAAGAGCTGATCACCCGTCTGTAAAATGATCAAGACTCTGAGAAATCAGCCCTATGCTCCAAAGTGGGCGCAACAGGAGAAAATAAACAGTGTCCCTGTACTTAACTAATTAAGCATCACGACATAAAGGCGTATGGGGAGTGAAAGTATAGATTCAAGTAATCTTGACCTTCGCATTAGTTGGAAGTGAGTGGTAAGCTTCACGCCGCTGTGCCCCCTAGGAAAGAGACACCGGCGTCCATTGGATAGGAGGCTGGGTGGACCCCAGAGCCCATCTGGACGACGTGAAAATTAGAAAAATCTCACCCCTACCGGGAATCCATTATTTTACAAATATAATAAGTAAATATGTATTTTATTTACCTTCTATCGAAACTACAGAATTGTTTTGTACCGTTTACTACCGATTAGCTCATAATGATGACGACACATCAGAAGTACAGGTTATTTGTAGGAAAACGAGACCAGAGATTAATTTCATACAGTAATCTCTTCTTGGTTTGCTGCTCCTGGGCTGATTGTAATTGTGTGCCGATCACAGTGGCCGCTCGGTCTAAGGCATGAACAGTCTTCGCCCGTTCAAACACTGGGATCGTGGGTTCGAATCCCACTCGAGGCATGGATGCCTGTGTGTGTTGTTCTGTGTGTAAGTAACGGCCTGGCGTCAGGGCTGATCCCCCTCCAAGGAGTCCTACCGACTGTGTGTAGACTAAGACACTGAAAAAGCGGTCAAGGTCCACAAGGACTGTAGAACCATAGGTAGATAAACTGTAGTTATGTAAATGAAAACTGTTTTCAACTATTTTATTGACCGACACAACACAACAAACAGAAAAATTCAAGGTCAGCGCCCAGCTATGGTTTCGCTACATGTTTCAGACACTGACGGCCATCATCAGGCAAACACATATTAACAAACATTACCATTGAACTGCTGTATATAGATTGGATACAATCATTTAAAATACTTTGCGTAAAAATACAATAAGTCAGATTATATAAAAACCATAAGCTACTGTATAAAACAAGATAAAACTTAATTGATGTTATACAGCATCGAATCAGTCGCTGATATTTTGCTTTACACACGCTTCCATGTATCAATTGGAAGCTCGATACTTCTTTTATATAAGAATGTATAGGAGGCCCTTGATGTTGCAAATTAATTAATTGTGTAGTCGGTGCCTCATCTTACGAAGGATTGTCCGTACTGTATGGAAAGTAAATAACGTCCATTTGCAACATGAAGGGCCTCCTATACATTCTTATATAAAAGAAGTATCGAGCTTCCAACTGATACATGGAAGCGTGTGTAAAGCAAAAAATCAGCGACTGATTCGATGCTGTATAACATCAATTAAGTTTTATTTTGTTTTATACAATAGCTTATGGTTTTTATATAATCTGACTTATTGTATTTTTACGCAAAGTATTTTAAATGATTGTATCCAATCTATATACAGCAGTTCAATGGTAATGTTTGTTAATATGTTTTTGCCTGATAATGGCTGTTAGTGGCTGAAACATGTAGCGAAACCATAGCTGGGCGCTGACCTTGATTTTTTCTGTACGGGAGGCTGTGACAACAGGACCTGAGTGGGGTAGCTAAAGAATAACCCATTGTAGAAGCCATTGCCAGAAAACAGCTAGTGGAGACTCCAATAGACTGAGGACACTAGTCTGTGTGTATTAGTGATTTGTAAAGTGTAGTTCCGAGTGGTGTGTACAAGTGGCCAATAAATCCAATATCCAATCCATACCCCGTCTATTGTCACGCCCCCCTAAACACGTGACAATATATTATATAATATATCTTAAGCTAATTATTTCTCTTCACTTCACCCTTTCCTTTTCGTCACCATATTACACATTTCCTTTAGTTAGCCTATTTTCTTTATTTTGAAAACATGAAAGTAGACTTAGGCAATCTCCAGGCTGTCTGTGTATTTGTACATCACCCCCTCTATCAACTTTTGAATGCCTGAACCAATCTTTATGAAACTCTGTTTGTATATCATTGCACCGGCGTACTCCATAAATCCCCCCTATCCATCTGTCTGCATGTGTATCCCTCTTATCGTTGCTCGGTAAAAACGTTACCGCGGCAATGAATACACGCAACAATATAAGAACTGTTGGAGGCGTCGTTTTCTATAAGGTCTGTAGCGTATCGAAAGAAAAAAGGCGATTAGTTCTTCCCAGAACTTCTTGATTTTTACCCTCCTGTTTTTCATCGTTTGGGGGAAACGGGGTTGAACAGAAGGAATGACAAACGGGCAAACGGATTGACATATGTTTCGTGACTTTATATATGGATTATCTTAAATGATAAAAAAGTTAAAAAAGAGACTGGTAAACAGAACTCGCTTTTATGCAGTCTTATCACGAAAATGATACCACGAGCCCACTGTATTGAGATCATGCAGCACCGCTCGTTGTCACCTATTTTTATCTTATCTACATAATTCGATGTCATTTCA